TTGAGCGTGGGATCTCACAAGTTGCTCTCACCCTCCGATAATAACTTCCAAGTAAATTTCACTGACAACAGCAGGGAATTGAGAGACATAAAAACATGTTGCAGTTTAATACTCTACGATGGGTTATTTTATACAATACAGAAAAGCCCATTTGGTCATTCACTGAAAGGAGAGGTCATCTTGTTCCTAGCACATATTCCCAGCTCACGTGCTGTAAGAGCAAACGACGCTATTATCACCAGGTTGTACAGCCCGCGTAATGCCTCGTTTAGGTACGTCGCACTTTCAGGACCAAAAGCAAAAGAAACCTTTGCGAAGGTTTAGCAGTGATGTCCCAGGGTTTATGCAGTAATTGAATAATCTAAAATTTCCATTCCTGTCCTCGTGGACTAATCTGTAATAGTGTTAAGGGACTGTTATGATAATAATTAAATACAAGTCCTGCATACAAAATTGATACTCTGCATCTCCATCTCCACGAGGGAGTTTCTCTCTTAATAAGATTTAAATCAAGTTTTACCTTTTTTTTTTTTTTAAGGAATTCATAAAGATTAACATATTGTACTGAGATAACACAGATATATATGTGAGAGAATAAGATATTTCAAATATATGAGCTCTGGCACATTCGTCTTGTCCTCTGATCTCTCCGAGCTGAAATTAGTGGTGCCAGACTAAACCAAGGCTGACGAAGGACCCTCGCTGACGAGCCGCTCCCTCTGCCCCCCGGCACAGGAACAGAAGCATCCCCCCGACGGATGCCACCACCGCTGCTAAATCTGTCGGGATTTTGTAGAACATCAGGCTCCTGCCTGTTCCTTGGCAAAGCCACGGCGCAGGCAGCGCTGCCCATGCTCAGACTCTGCCGGGCACGGCTTTGCCCCGAGTCCAAGAGAACCCTTCTCTCCAGGTTCTCCTCGGGCCCTGGGGTTTGGGGAGACCAAAATATCCTCAATGCAGGATAAAGAGCAACAGAATCTGTGCCGACCTTTCAAAATGCGGGGACAAGAGGGAAATTTACTATAAAAATATGACCTCGTTTTAATTTTAGCAGCAGTTTACTATGAATTCATGTGAATGTGCCGTTTATAGGCACCTGGAAAGGTTCAGGCACCAGAAAAGGCAAACGCGTCAGCTGAGCCAACCGCCGGCAAAGTCGGAGCAGCACCAGTCCGGAGTGATGTTAAAGCTATTTCAACACTCCCCTTACTCTTATTTATTAGTTAAAAATTTTAATTATATGAATTGATTAGGAACACATCACCAGGGATCCTAATTAATTAGAATTTTAAAAAGGATCATGGACTGGAGATTTTTAATGGATTCCACTAAGAATTGCACAAAGAGGTGTATTAAGGGAAAGGCCAAATTAACTTCTCCTTTCTGCTTTATCCAGCGTTTTCTAACAGGATTGTGCATCAGATTAACCAAGTAATATCCAAAGCCCTCATGTGACGCTAACCAAGGCACTAGCTTGAGGATTTCATGCAGTTGTCATTCAACATCCACTTTTTATTCCTCTTATTTCTTATTTCAATTAGCGTATTCCTATTTAGTTTCTTCCTTCTCTATGTCCTAAATTTGCTTTAGCTGCATTGTTCATGCTCACCAAATCCCTCTACATAGTACTGATAGGCATCAACATCCCCAGGTATCTGGTGTAAACTTTTTGTTTCAAAATGCATTTTTTGCCCTTCCCAAAACCTGGAATGATGCAGGAACTATCACACTGATGACACTCAGGAAGTGATTAATTATTAAATCAACTAATACAAATCCCTTTTCAGAACTGGCTGGTCAGTAGTTTCACGGGCCAATGTGTTTCTCCTTCTTGCCTGTTAGCTGCAGTTTCCAAAGCTCTGTTTGGATGCTATCGATGCTCTTGGCTGTCGGCTTTGCAAGTATTTTTCCATCATTGCGACGATGATACCTATTTATCTTCTGGCTGCAAGAGTCGCTGAGATGATCTGGCAGTGCCACAAGGCAGACAGTTATTTCATGCCCTGTTAAACCCTAATGTGGTTAACTACAGTATCACTCCAACTTGGAAAAAAGCCTTTTTTGTTGTTTTATATCTGTTGCCTATGTGTCCAAGTAAAGAACATTGCTTCCCATTAGGATGGTATCAGAAACAAACCCACAGCACTACCCGTGAATTAGTGCGGTGTACTGATCGAGTAATTAAGGAGGTTAAAAATACACAGTTCTGCCCAAGCAACACTTAGAGGTCAAGCAAATGAACTTTTTCTGCGTGGTTCAGAGGGGAGACGGGCAGCAATCGCTCAGATGCCGGCTCGGCACGGGACGGGGCAGCGAGGGGCCACTGGGTAGGGCAGTGAGGGGACAGCGCAGCAGTGCGGGCGACTTTCCTCTGGCTTCAAAAACCGCAGACATGCCTTCAGGGACACACGCTATAAGAGGTGTTTCTGCACTGGACCCCACTCTTCCAGGCCCAGATTTCTGCGGGAGTTAAATTTCAGACCCAAATCCCTACTTGCTTGTTCCTGCTGTTTTCTTTTCTTCTGTCTTTCCATATACAAATTACTATGACTTGAATCACCAGTTCCTTTGTATGCTCTGATACCCAACGGAAAAAAATATTAATTTCTTTTCAACACTTAGATGATCAATCTGGATTTTGATACACCCTTAGCGCTGCTTCAGACACAGATTTATGTGGAAGCTGTGTTCATCCAGTTCTGAGCCACAGCAAAAATTGCATTAATTGTTCACGGTGTTGGCTCAGGGGCCAGATTTGTGCTCGGTTATCGCTTTACCTGCCGCAAGACCCATCAGCTGTAAAACTGGGCACATCCCACATCTGCCAAAGCCGGGAGACTCCGAGCTGGGTCTGCTGGGCTTGGCAGCAAAGATCGAGGGACAACTTGACAAGAGGGCATAAGTACCTTCTTGGAGATAAAATACCAGGTACTAAAGGGCTCTTACGCTGGAGAAAGACGCAGGAATGTCTGGCTGAACCCCGACACATCCCAATCACAGAGCAAGTACTTTGAAGCTTATTTTCTCAAGTGGTGAATGTGATCGGCCTCTGGTAGAAACCCCGAGAGCTGCGCGTTCTCCAGCTCCCCATATATCCGATTTCAGATTTGTTACTTTCCAGAAGACACTCTTCAATAAAATAGAAATCACTGGATTCAGTGCAGGGCTGGTGGAGTTAAACGTTATCGCCACTCACATCCACACACTCAGGCACTCTAGGGGCTGATGGCTCAGTCTTTGAAAAATGTCAGAAAGTATTTATTTAACCACGTGTATGTGTGGTAGCCAACGGTCACCACCACCCTCCTACAGGCACACTTTGCAGTGAAGTTTTGGTATTCTGCACTGTTAGGGTTCACAGAAGTTAATTAAATCATGCTCTGCAAACCCGAAACAAAAACAACGCACAATTTCTATTATGCTGACTTTTTTTTGGCTTGTCATAATAAAACATTGTTATTGGATGTAAAAATTATGGAACAGAGTTATGCCTCTCTGGTGTAATATAATGCAATCCATTTAATACTATTTTAAACCCAAAAACCTCATTAAAGCAGACAGAACGTAAGAATGACAAATCACCCAGAAGGAACCTGGAGCACAAGATGTATTCCAGCCGCTCGGCCGCTTCGCATCCCCTGCGCTGAATTCGGTAACACCGCAGGCATCAGAAAATCCAGCACGACCCCCAGAGCCATGCCGAACCGTCACCCAGGCGCGAGAAAGACAAATGCCACGCAAAATGTCTGCCACGACGGGCCCAGGGGTGAGGTCAGAAAGCCTGGCTTAGCCCAAAGTCCAGCCTGAAAGCGATCGGACATGCCTCGAGACAACGGGCTGGGCTTTGCCCATCACCGAACAACACCGATTATTCCAAACGCTGCCAACTGTGCTGTGGTCTGCCTGCACAACTGGGCGCAGCTTCCTACCTGTAGTGATGCACCCAGTCTATTAGCTGCAGAAATCAATACAGCTTATACAAATATATACCCTTCCAGCTTTGCTATTCATCTGCCAAAATCAGAGTATTTCTTGACGACACAGCTACATGCCACACTGACACATTTTAACACCCTTTTACCATTCTGGCCCCACGTTCAGTATCAAATGCAGGGAATACAGCCCTACTGTCTTAGGAACTAAGCTAGGCAAAGCTCTGCAGTTGGACTTCTGCTATCCGAAAATGTAATTCCCATTTAATAAAATATAAAAGAAGTTAAACAAAAGTACTTCTTATCCACGTCTGTGCAGACCTTTAACATCGGCAGTGATTAGTGCAATATAACAGCTCTTTCCTCACACAGGTGGAGCTTAAGAAAGAATAGTTGTGTCAAAGAACAGTTGCGTCAAACAACGACATGTTTTAGAACAAACAGGCTTATTCTAGAAATAGTGGCAGGTGAAATCATCCAAATGAATTTCTCCGAGTGGCTAAATATCATCAGAAGAGCAACGGTCTCCTCCAAAACACGCCTTGAAGCAGAGTCTCATTCTGGTCTGAATTCAGCAGAAATTCTGCTTCTGCATACTGTCAGACCAACACTTCACAAGCATATGGAAAATTACGGTAATTGCTACCAAAAACTAGCTGGCATTCTGCAAGAATCAAATCTTATGCATACAAGGCTTACACAATAAAAAAATGCTTCGCAACCCACCCCGTGACGTTTGGTGACCCTTGTGAGGTGCCTGTTAGAACCAGCACGTGTTCTACCACAGACACCCGGCGTGACGACGCTTCAGCACCTTTCTGCCACCCGAAGCTGCACAGCCCCAGGGCAACCAGCAAGCCGTAACGCAATCCGAGGCGACGCTACACGCAAACTTTGCTCAGAGGAGTAATAAAGAACACGCATGTATTGGAGGAGGGGGTGGCAGCTGAAAGTCAGCAAATACTCGTATTTGTCTGAATGTGTGGACGACTCCACTTTGAACGTACCTCGGGGAGCCGCTGCCTGCCAGCGCACCCACCCCCAGACCCACCCCCGCCATTCTCCTACCTCCACTCCTTGGACTTTCAGTTTCATGTGATCCTCTCTGGTGGTCTTCCCATCTTTCCTTTTCTTCCAGCAATATCCATCTTTCCTGTATTTCACCTTCTTCCTGTTGTACAGGATCATAGAACCATTCTGCGGTCTGAAAGCAAGAAACGGGTTCGAATTACATAAAGAAAAAAACCACCCTAAGGGAGTTTATGAAGCAATGTACAACAGACCAGCAAACACCTCCACAGAAAAGCAGTATTCTGTATTTGGCGTAATATAAATTTTCCACCTTTTGTTACTGTTAACTGGATTAGCTGATGTTTAGCCATCTGAAAAATTTTTACTTGAGAATCTTGTACCTAATGAAGTAAGTGTGCCAGTGAGAGGTTTAAAAAAAAAAATAGCCAGTGTTTTCACAGGATATATTATGATTGGGCTCAGCTATACGCTGAAAACTAGAAGAAAAGAAAGTTTCAGGGAAAAAAAAGGATTGTTATATTGATATTATTTCCTTCTAGACAATCTCTTGCTTTTAATGCATCAGCAGGATTAGATAAGAACCCCCCCAGCACAGCACCAGAGTATGGATGTTGGCTTAAAAAGGCAATAAACAAGCAAAGAAGAATGGAAGGAAAAAAGCATTAGCTTATACATTGGTTTCACTGCTCCTGCTCAGATCAGCGTTAGACATAGAAAAACTTTCTCTCTTCCAAGCACCTCCTTGACTTCAAAGACACATGAAAACATGTTCTGCTCAGAAACCACGCTGATGCTTCAGAATTCCCACGAAGGCACACTGACGCCTGCCCAACAGACAGGACTCAACACCGTTCTGGTGTACGACAGTATTTCACAGAAATGTTTTGCCATCTGCTAAGGCAATACACAAAAGAGGCATTTCTGCCGTAATACTAGAAAATAAAAACCCACAGAGCCCCCCCACTGCAAAGTCAGCATGCATCCGGCGCAGGCAGCAGTGCTGCGGGTGCTGCAGGCACCTACAGCGGTGCATTAGTCACAGTCACTTGGCTTTAGGACACCAAGAACAGAAAGAAAAACAGCGACGTTAGCAGCAGCAATAAACAATTTTCAGAGGAAAGCTCTGGCTGGAGCCTTTTGATAAAGTACAACATTTTACGTGTATAAACAAACCAAATTAACAGCAAAAAGCCTTTCAGGACAGAGTACGAGAGAGTCGTCCCCCCCATGCAGTCCAGACCTCACACCACTCCTCACACCCCTTGACTTAGCAGTCAGCTGTTTCCAGACGGAGCACGGCGATACCTGGAATTGCTAAAAAACCCCACCGAATATTTTCAAGGCCAGCAAACGCAGGGAAGCTCTTCAAATAAGCAAGCCGAATTAAGTGGTTTGTGTTCATGCAATACCGGCTTGTGACTTCAGAGCCATGCCAAAGGTGCTGGAAAAGCATCCTTCTTCCCTCCTGCTTCTATGTTTCAAACAGCACGACGCCATGAAATAAGCACAAGAACAAGCTTCTGCAGGTACTTTCTCCTTATTTTTCTCTAACAAAATACTCCATTTGAAGACAGCCATCTTCACCCATGTTTATCACAAAATAATAGGGCAGTAACATTGATGTAAAAGCTGTTAATTATAGAGTAACTCATCCCAATGCTCCATTAAGTGCATAAAGGCACCTTACTACTGAGGAAAACAAGCTCATGATGGTTTTCTACCGCCATCAGCCAGCTGAAATGACCTAGATCAACCCGTACAACACCCTTCCTCCATCAAAACAAACACCATCCACAATGGCGGGATCTGCTACTAAAAACCCATTCTTTTCCCTTGTCTCTGCATGTAAGCACGCTTCTTCGGGTACATGCAAAAGGATGCCCTGCCTGATTTACACTCAGCATTTGCCCTCCAGAATGCATAGGCACATCACAAATTTAATGAATGTGAATGGGAAACAAAAGTCTTTTTTAGTAGGAAAAAAGATTTTCTACTTCCACATACATTTGCAAGACCTCAATGATCTTTCAGCTAAGTAGTACTTCGTGCATTTTTTTTTACTAGAATAGATATTATAGATATTTTTTCCCACATACATGCAAATATTTATTTCCTGTGACCAGAAACCCAAGCTCCATTCACCTAAACTATGCCTCCTCCTCCTCCTGCCACCCATGTCCCAGCGGCCCAGACCCAAGGGCTCAGTGAGGCTGCTCCTCCTCTCCACTCCTAGCCATCACCCTGAAAACACACACTTGGGTGTCAGCACAACCACGGCGGCTGCTTGACAGCGTCACCGATGTGCAGGATTCATGCACTGGAGATATTTCTTATCTTGTTTCAGTGGTTCTTCTCCAAACCAGCAGCCGCTGCACGTGTCAGCTCAGACACTCCTCAAACGCCAAAGATCTGCCCTTGTCGCCACCACGGAGACATGCCCTATGGCTTACGACAAGTTACCTGCACATTTAGGGCAAGTAACGAAAAGACAGTGTGGGAACTGATCTCCTGCCTAGTGCCTCAGCACTCGCACACGCGGCTTTTCAGAAGACATGCACTGGAAACTTTTTGATGCGAGCAAAATACTGCTTTTCTTGCATTCATCGTCACGAGAGCACGTGTGTGAAGGGACCCCAGAGCTCAGCTCTGCAACCTTGCTGCTGGTCTGCAAGGCTGGAATCAGGTTTTTGTTGGTTTATTTCTGCGACAAAGAAAGAACATGTAAGAGGTCACTGGAAAACAGTTAACAAGATTTATATAAACAAAGCCCAATGAAACAAAATCTCTTAAGAATCTCTGGAGCAGCTGTTGATTTTGATAAGAGTGTATTGAGTTGCTTTAAGGCTCATAGAAAGCAAATGGTTTTTAAAGATACCTTCAAAAAATGAGAGATAATTTTAACCTGATATTATACATTGCCATTATATTTCACCTGCTGTAAGAAAGAACAGACAGGGAAGATCTCCCGTGCTTATCTCCCTGGCACAGAAACACAGCCAAGAGCAGCTGGTTGATGGTTGTGGGAAGGCTCAGCAGATGAGGTCCACGGGGATTCCCAGGGAGCGACGGCTGCGACTCCAACCCAGGTCTGCTCCGGAGGTTTTGCAGCTAGCCCGCATTTGAGGATTTCATTTGCAGCTTTGTAGTAGAGGGGTTGGAAGCGCACGCCCAGGGGCTACCCCAGGACTGCAACCCTCTGCAGGCGCGGGCTTCGGAAGCCTGCAGCAAGGCAAGGTCGGCTTTCCTGCGCATCATCAGACACAGAAAGCAATCATCTCCATCTGCACTAAACTCCACCTGGAACCACCGCAATAACAACAAGTACTGGAACATTAACGGCAATTTACTTGATTTGATTAGCTACTACTTTGCAGCTACATAGTGCTCTTTTCATTAATGCAGGACTAAATGGAAAATAATAAAATAGTATCTTAATATGACGGTACAGCTGAAAGCAAGCAAGCCAGAGCGATCTAAACCCACCGAGAAGCCGGTCTGCGCTTGCAGCGCGAGGTGTTGGTGCTGCTGGAGGGGTCAGCGGACCCCCGCAGAGCCTGGCTGCCGCGGGCCCCCCTCCATCGTCGCTCCCGGCAGGCACGGCTACAGCCCGGTCCTGCAGGCTTTGCACCGCGTACGGCAACAAGCGGAGTGGTGGCTGTGAAATGGCAGC